GACTTCAGAAGATGCCCAACACTAAAGTTTGTTGCACCCCAGTCTCTGCACCTAAAAACACTCACCAAGGAGCAGCGTGAAATCTTCAAAGGGTGAGTCACTTCCCAGTCAGAACTGGGCACAAACATGGTTTTTTATTTCTGAACACTGGAGCAGGTTTTGGAAGATAGGGAAGAGCGTGCTACCATGAAGATGCCTGGAGTCAGTTTTCCACCCAGCTCTGAGACTAAAGCTTTGTGACATTTCTTTATTTTTTCTCTTTGGCAGTGCTTTCAAAGGCTCATTGTTTCCTTCTGAGACAGTATCTTTGTTCGCTCATGTATCTTTGGAGGAGTGAGGCACATGTAGGCCCTGAGATAAAAATATCTACATGGGAAATTAGTAGGTTTGAAACTTCTTTACTGACAGACATTTCATGCACACCCAGGGGGGCTGTAAACATCCACAAGAGATCCCATGCCTGCAAGCTGCAAGACAGTTTTCAGTGTATCTTCATGCATGTGTGTGTGTTCATACACATACATATTTACTTTTTAATGAATATGTGTATGAATGGGTCCTCTTAGATGTGGGCAGCTTCCAGGCAGCCATGACCAGGATATGTTCATCACCTGCCTCATGACAGCAGAGAGCTTTGTTCCTCTGCATCTCACTGACAGCTGTTCATTAGCAGCGAAGCAAGTTTTATTCTGGCCCTTGACAGTAACTCTAAGTGAAATACTTGTGCCTTATTCACCCCACTGTTCATCCATCGTGGCAAAAATACTGCCCAGAAAGGGAAGCAAGGACCAGCTGAAGTTAGGTTACTAAGCTACGAGCAAATATAATAAAAGTAAAGCATTAGGCTAGCCCTCAATAAAGAAGATACAGCTATTTTAAGTATCAACAAAAGCTGCTTATTTATGGGCTCCCTGTAAAATATGAGATGTCATAGATGAAATGCTTAAAATGGGTGTTTAAGGAAGGCAGTAAAACAAACATTTACATAATCTTTAAAAATTAATAATAGTAAATAATACCTGAACATCTGCTAGCTAGAACAAGGTCACTGACATGGAGATAACTCCCGAAGGGTCAAAAACCCTGCAGTCTCTTTTAGCTTATGGAGTCTCTTTGACCATCAACAAAGCAAAAACTTTGTCATTGCCTCTGTACCCAGTCGCCTGCCTCTAATGGGCTGGGAGCAGGCAAGACAACCATGCTTATTGGGCTGTTAATAACACAACTTACACAACATTTGTTTACTCACTTGCTCTTTACAAAGGTACTTCTTGGAAAACCTTTCACCTTTCTTTAATGTTGGGGTTTTTTTTCATTTCATCTTGCATAACCCTAGCCTGCTCTGCCCAGTGGTCAGCTTTGTTGAGCTGGCAGCTTGCTGACTGTCCTCTGCAGACCAGCAAGAGTCACCGTGGCCATCATTAAGCAGCTCACACCCCAGCCCCTTTTTAGTTTAAAGTTCAATAGTGAAGTTGTAAATTGGTCCACCAAACCCGGTAACCAACACGTTTACAGTACTGGGTTTCTCTTTAGTCTAATGCCACTCAAAATCTCCTCATTATATTGTTTATGTTTTCCAAAATTGAAGTACCTTTCCCACCTGCATCATAACATCAGAAGCCCAATGCAACACCACAAGGCTGGAATCTCTATTAGGCCACGGTCCTTGAACGGCTCTCAGAGAGGGTCTTAGGGCAGTGACTGGTTACAGCCATGTGCCGTCCCAGAGGCTCCTCTTCTCTGCTTCCACAATACAAAAGCCTTTTTATCCTATGCAGGTCAGACCACCTCAGTTTGACTGACATTGCCACAGGAAAAAACTGGAAGGACTCACAGTGCATAGCAAATCACTGTGACTGCCTGACAAATAACATTACAGACGAAAGTATGAGGATTGCCTCTTATCAGGTTTTTTCCCATCAGGCTTATCATCTGTCACTAAAAATACACTGCATAATTCTGTAGGGGTGCAAGAACTTGTAGCACCCTCTATCTCTGTGTAAGCCATGCTTTCCAAGACTGGAGCCTCAATGGAGCTGTTTCCATGCTTTGTTCCTTATCACATGCAACTTCGGCACAACTTTGCTAATCCCACATCTTTGTCCCAAGAACCTCTCTAAATTAAGGAGGTTTTAAGCAAAAATTAAAAAAAAACCTATGTTTTTCCTTTATAAACAAAGGCACCTTCTCTGTAAAGGCTGTTAGGATATTTCTCAATTTTATAAATATTAGTAGAAGACTTTTGGTTCTAGAAGCATTTTATGCTGTGATAGGAGTTAGCATGGGAAAACAAGACAAGAGGGAGATTAAAATGTAGTTGTATTAGCACTTGAAGAGTGACTCTGTAATTATGTATGTCTGTTTGGTGTGATGTGCACAAAAGTGTTCCTCACAGGCTCTGTGATACTGATGAACATAGTAAAAATTGGATTTGTTTCCAGAAATATAATCCAGTGGTGTCACCGAGCACCAAAACCTAAACCATCAGCACAACAGAATAAATCCCCATAGCTTTCCCACAGAAAACAGACATCATGCCCTGACATATATCCAGACAGGGGAAAAATGTTTTAAAAATCAGTGTGGCTCCACAGCTATCTCCAGCTGAGTCATGGGAAGGAGTCCTAATCTCCTCCTAGAGAAGCCCTGTCATCCCACCCTCTCAGACTCAGGAGCCAGCAGGTCTTTTGTCCGGAGTGGTAACAGCTGCAGAGAGGACAGATTGACAGGCTCCGATCTTCCAGTTTGTCCACATTAGGCACTCAGAAGTCATCAGCCAAGCTCCAAAAACTGAAGTTGGTTTAAAAAAGATAAATCTGAAAACCTAACACCGCAGCCTCTGAGCTTATAGCAGGGCAGGGCATACCTGGCCTTTAGGGATGCACATACACTTCAGTGAACTCACTCAACAGAACACAGTATCTGCTTCTCAGTGTCCAGTCTGTTAGGGAAGTTGAAGCAGAGCAAATCAGCAATCCCTCTCCATGTGTGCGAAATCACACAGCTGCCTATCCACCTTCAGAACACAGCATACTAGTGACAGAAATCAATGAAATGTTGATCAAAATCAGTGAATTGTTAATACCACCACTGGAAGTTTTCAAGGTCAGGTTGCATGGAGCTTTGAGCAACCTGGTCTAGCAGAAAGTGTCCCTGCTCATGGCAGGGGGTTTGGAACTGGGTGATCTTTAAGGTCTCTTCCAAATCAAACCATTCTGTGTTTCTGTGGCGAAGCACTGCTATGCCAGGCAAGCTGTGTGGGATCACCACTATCCATGAAGGAGCAGCATGCCAACAAAAGAAAGCCAGGCTGAAAGCAGTGGACATCCAGCTAACGCCTCACAGGTCCAGGCTTTGTGGACAGAAGATTGAAAAAAAAAAGAAGCCTAGAAAGTCAGGTAAAGAAAACAAAGACCAATAAACGAACAAACAGGGGGTTAAGCCCACAGAGTGGTTGGCTGGACATTCCTGACAGTGACCATCTCATCCTGGAACCAGGAGGATTTAGGTGAGTCCATGAAACCAATCTCATGTCTCCCTGGTCTTTTCATTTTTCAGAAGCCAGGTTCCTTCCCAAATCCACTTTGCTGAAAGGCTCACCTTCCCAAAGAAGCAGCCTGGCAGGAAAAGAAATGCCAGGGATTATGTCCCTTTCCCTAACCAGAGGCTGGTGCAGCAGTATCACTGGAGTATCACCTGCTCCATCTGGAGCAGGTGGAGGACCTGAGAGCAGCTCATTCACCATCATTTTTACAGCCAAGTCATAAAGGAGCAGGAGCAGGTTTCATGTCCAGTGCCTCTTGAGATAGCTCCCAGACCTCAGCCCTGAGCCTCAGCTGCACCCCATGGCTTGTCAGGTGTATTCACACCAGTCTGAGGAGATCTGCCTATGCTCCACCCAGAGGGCAAATTAAGGCAAATTCTTCAACACTAGAAATAGCAGATCAAGTTTAACATTGATTAGCAAAAGAAGTTTTACCTCCAGTGGTCAGGCTGGACTGCAACTTGCTAGCAAATAACAGTGGGGGGCAGGTAGGAATCACGGGTGATGACACATTTGAACTCTGGAGTCTGGAGATATATACATATGAATTGTGAGCATGGGGACAGCACTGTGCTCTTAGAACAGCACAGCTGCACTGTGGGGAGAGAAACATCTTTCAAGTCACACCAGGGATGAGCAGGTCCAAGAAGCTCCATTCTACAGATGAGGTGCAAAAGGCAAAACACCTGTCTCACCAGACAGGGAGAGGTAGCACTTCACCCTAGATGGCCAATCGACAAAGGATGCAGTATTAGCCATTCAATGAAATCTACAGAAAACTGTCCTTAGCTCTGAAGTGGCTTGGTTATTGATCTAATCAGAAGAGCACTTTCCATACTGGTAATCCAGCACACTTTTATTCAGATACTCTCTTACCTCTGCAGTGGTGAGCCTAGCAAGGTCAGCCAAGCACATTCCTGTAACTGGGTGTGACAGAAGGCAGAAGTGAAGGACACAGAGGACTCTTCCACTCCTTTAGTTGTCTTACAGAGTTTGAGACAAGATTTTATCTGGATGAAAGTGCTCCATTTTCTCCTAGCAAGGATGGGATGCGATCCACCTAATGAGTTCTTTATTTTGCAATTTGATAACATCAGCTGAAAAACTCATTGAAACTTCACAACTACAAGTGAATGCTAAAACCTGCGGCTTGTTCCTCTTCTCAGTAGAGTGAAACACTTACTGGCAGAGTCCATCCTGAGCTCTGGGGAATTACAGCCAAAAAAAGTCAACTGCAGCAACAGGAAGGAACGTAGGAACTGTATAGAGCCCAGAGGGCTATGAGATGAGCATGAGGCCTCTCTGATTTGGCACCAGGTCCCTTCCCTTCACACTGGTGCACTTGGCCACAGGTTTGGTGTTTTCCTTGTTTTTTTTTAAATGAGATTGTTAATTAGATAATTAGATCATTTTTAATTAAATGAACATGAAAACAAGAGAACCATTTTATTCTCACCTCCAAAAGCTGGCCGCATGGTGAAGTCATGTTCATCGACTCTGAGAAGCTGTTCTGTCTTTCCTTTCCAAGCTTTGGTCAAGTCATGGTTCTTCTTAAAGATGTGACTGCAAAAGACAGCAACAGCATTGGTCCAATATCTCTGTGCCCGAGCTGCAGCTGACTTCTGCCAGCCCAGTTTTGGACCTACAGGAGCAGAAGCTTTGTAGGTACAGTCTGAGGAAGGGAAGCAGGAAGGCTGCCAGCACCACAGCATGGACACAACACCACCTTTCCACAGCACTTTGTGCCTCCACAGGTGCCCTGCTGCCTCTGCCCCACTCCAAGATGGACAGGGCGCTCCCTTCACCCCAGACACCATGGCTCCCAGGGAGGCACAAGGCTGAGAGAACAGCATCTCATGGAGGAGCTGGGATGCAGCAAATGTCACGGCTCAGAGCAAGCAACAGCAGAAGCAGCTGGCTGCCCCCACGTTACCTGGCCAGGATTTGGCCAGGTACCAAGGAACATTGTCATGAGAAAGCTCTTTTCGGTGGTGGTCACGCAATGTCATGCACTATTCTGAGTGAACTTCACTTCAGTGCCAGCAGTTTGTGTGGACAGAGGGTTTGCTTTGTCTTCTGGCTTTCAGCAAAAACAAAACCACCCATTTCTCCCTTCAACAGCAGGAAAAGAAGAGTTTTAGCTAAAGAAGTCTGCAATCCTTCACTTTTCCGAATATTAAGGTAGGAAAAACTCTAACCTTTTATTTAATACATTATATGATAACAGTAGAACAAGGATGACAACAAACCCCTGAGAAAAGTGCAAGATAGTCACTAAAATCACCTAAGGGGATAACTACCTGGCAGACAAACATACATTTCTGGAAGAAAATCCAGATCAGCATCTCTGGCTGTTCTCCAGTGGTGTAGGATGGAGAACTTGGACCATTAAGGTTCCTCCCTCTACTCGGAATGTAAGATACAACAAAGTTACAAATATTGCTGCAATGAGCTGTTTGTCAGTAACTTACTAAAAGTAATAATGATAAAGAGAAAGAACTTTATACAAAAGGGTTCAGATTCCTTTGCCTGTGCAAAAGAAATATTACTGAATATAAAGAAAAAAATCTTGGAGAAAAAATAAAGAGACTACTTAGGCTTAAAATCTTGGTCAAAAATTCAGAGCTTACAAAACAATCACCACACTCATAAGCGTGGCTGTGGAAAGTGATGTGCTTGGCCTCATTAAAATACAAAGCATGATGAGTATGAGGCAAAGGGAGCAAAAATTGTAAATCACAAATCAGAAGAAAAGTTTCCCATCAGAGCACTCATTTCAGGAAAGAAACTACGAAACCTAGGGGGTGTTGATAGCTGCCACTCACATCAATAACCCATTTACTTTAATAAGGAGGTGAAAAGGAAGCAATAAAATTTGAAAATAAATATATCAAATGGATTTTTTGAGGGAATATAACCCCTTGTGCTCCAGGACACATGCTACATAGAAAACATTGGACCCTTCTTACATCACTTTGGGCTCCTGTTTCAGTCAGGATTCCAGAGCATCTCTCTCCCTGCTGGCTGTGAAATAGAGCCAGCTGGAGCAAGCGTGCTTGGCACAGCTGCATTAATGGTTACCTAAAAGCAGAGTGTCAAACCAAGTCCAGTCACTAATGGGAATGGTTGGAGGCAAAAGTTTAGCTTTTAACTGCTTGCTGCAGGGGGAAAACTTTGCTTCTCTGCAAAGGTTAGGGCTGCTGCCAAAGTGCTCCGCTTTGCCATCCGCAGTACTGCCCCTACGCCTGAAAAGCTGGAAGTGGGGAAGCAGGATCTTCCTGTGTCTGCTTGATTTTAATTATCTGGGAAAGGCCAAAGTACCACTGAATGTTCAATCAAGTCTCTCTTCTCAAAGTATGGGGAAAAAAAATCTAATTAAAAATCCAATAAAACTTTGGATTGCCCGCTGTATGAGGAATTAGCACGGAAAACCCTGGCAGTATTACAGTGCCATCTTCTAAATCGATGGCTCAGCCTCACTGAAATGCTGTGCTTTGATCAATTATTTTAAAAATCATCAAACAGCAAAAAACACACAGGAGAGCTGCTGAGACCAGTCTGTGGCCACTGAGGCTTCAGAGGGCTGGCTGGGGACACAGACACTGTCTCAGGAAGGAAACAGGTTTTCAGGCGCATCCTTAGCCAGGAGTTGTATTTAATAGCCAGCATTTAATCATCAGTTCATGCCCAGTCCTTCAGGTATGTGATGGACAATTCAGACTTTATGGATAGAGTTCTGTCATTTCCTTTCTAATCAACTTAATCCATTTACAAAGATTTTGTACCAAGATATTTTTAATGACAGAAAGTCTATACAGCCTTTGAAATGTGCAACTACTTTTGTCTATTTAATCCAATTCAAGACCAAATTTGTTTTAAAAATAAAAATCTTTATAACAGTGTTTGACATCAACTACGGCAGTATCTTCTGACCCTCTCTGGAAGGTATCCCACGCCACCCCCATCCCTGACAGGCATAGGGAGCACATCATTACCTGCAGCAAAAGTGACACCAGCTGCCAGTGCAGAGCTGAAGGATGCATTGAATACTGCTGCCCATCGGGCACCTTTACTGACAATCTGATCACTGCTATCTCAGAAATCCTCCCCAATGTATTTATAGTCTTTAGCATTTCTGATTACAGATTTCTCAGGGTTTCTTTCAGCTTTATGCACTCTCTGTCATTCACCACTATTCATTTAAAGTCATCTCTTTTTTTGCCAAGTTTTTCATATATAATTTTACTGCTGTTTGTACTTCATTCAAAGGGGATTAATTTGATAAATCTGACTTTTGTGAGGAATTGTTCCTGTTTACAGAGGAGAGAAGGGGACAGGTATCTCACTGAGCTTCAGTAAAGACTTCTCTATTATTGCCCTATTTTTTTTAATATATATTTTCCTTTCCAGTCACTTTTATTCAGAATTGTTCTCAATTGCATAAAATGCTTCTTATATATCAAGGAAAATTAATTATTGATGGCATGAGAAATTAAAGATAACAGCTCAGCAGGACTCAGAAAAGTAGGTATTTATGCAGACATTCAGATTTTTCAGAGCAAGATAAAAAAACTTATCAAATTGGAAACAGTCCTCATGCCACAGGGTGTAAGGCAATGGCTAAGCAGTGAGCGTGAAAGCGAACGTGATCTTCATCCCGAGCATGGTGCAGCTGTTGGCAGCCAGAGTCTGAGAGGTATCTGCACCTTCCTCTGGGAAATTCAGCATTGTCTTTGGTCACAAAATGGTATCTCATGGCATCTCCACAATAAGACAGGTCTATCTTGGTTTGCATGGATGGCACACCATGGGACAGATCACACCATCTCACCAGGGGAGAGATACTCTGTTGCCCAACTTCTGGATGTAACACTTAAATCATCTGTAAGTTTATGTTCAAAGCAGGAAAGAAGGTGATTTTCCATGCCAGCTTTCTAGAAAAACTAAACCAGACTCTGGAAAATGACCAGATCAAAGGGTGTGCACAATCACTGCTATTGTACACATTTTCTCCCTGCTTTTGTTTCACTGCTGTGATGCTGCAGTGTTGGGGAAAAGATCCCAGAAGACATTAAACCTCGCACAAGTAGAGGTTCTGCAATGCCCTGGACTTGAGTCCCAGACAAGCAACACACCTGTAAAAAATGTTGATCAACATTTTAATCACTGAGCCACTTACTCAAAATTTTCTGAGAAACCACCATAGAGCAGAGGGATTCTGTAGGGCCTGGGAGGTACCAAAGGCTAGAGGACATGTCTGCATTATCTGGCTGAAAAATGTGATAAAAATGCAGCTCTGCAAGGAAATAGAGGGAAGTCGCTGCCAGCAGCAGCAGTTTCAGCAGGGATCACTAGACCCCTTACTCCAGTGGACTGCTGTTTGGAAAAACAGCCTATGTGCTGAGCCTTGTGCTGCCATGCCCTGATGGTCATCTTCTGCTTCTGGGTCCCAAACTAGGACTCGCATGTAGCATACCCTGAAAACTGCATCTCTAATGAAATAGTCCAAATCACTTACCACTTCCAAAAATCTTGGCAGGAAGTCTTTAGCTAACAAAAAGCTCAAAGCCACTTCTATTTCAAAGGCACAATGTTTCTGCTGATTGAAGCACGAGGCTTCGCATGGTAGGAGAGAGGAACAGGCAGACTTGGAGTTAGGTGGGTGTAGGTTGCTGGAAACACGGCATTCACTGGCACAATCCAGGTGGTAAATTGAGTTCTCAATTTATGCAGAGCAATACACATTACCAGAAGCATTATCAGCAATTGTTATAGAGCAATAAATATTAACAAAAGTAGTAATTCTCAGAGCTTCTTTTTCTCTGAGTGGAAATTCTGTCCAGCTGGATAATCTAGAAGGACTACCTCCATTTGTTTGCAGTTCCTGAGAGGCAGCCACCACCAAGCTACTGAAGAGTACCCCAAACTGTTTCAAAAACTCAGTGTCGGACATTCCAGCAGCACTTGCTTGGCACTTACAGTAAGGCCGATGTACTGAGGAAGCTCCAAGCACAGATACCCACGCTGTGTACAAGCCAGTACTACTCACAGCAAGTCGGACGTGCCCTGGCAGCATTAGCCTCGACTGTGTACCCAGCTCTCTGGCAAATCCCAGCCAGCAACATGGCAGCACAGACCACCCGACACATATACCTGCACCTTTCCACACTTACACTACCTCTTTCAGCATCAGTCTCTTCTTCCTCTCTGGAAATTTATTCCCTGGTGCACGGGTAAGGCAGGGGTCAGCCTGCCCTGCTCAGCAGTCACCCAGGGGACTCTGACAAAAGGCTTTGCTCTGTGGCTCATTTATCACCTGACTTTTCCAAACAAAATGAAATGCAAAAATTTTTAACCAACGTTTTGGTTAGTTATGAGCCCTTGGTTTTGTGCACCATTTGTCAGCTTGCAAATCAGCAAGAATGCCCTCAGCTTCATACCACTCACTGATATCCTTCAGTTTTGCAATGTAAGTGGCACAGACTGTACACCCTGGAAAATGTGAAAAACCGCCATCAAAGAACAAAGCCAGGACCCGCTACTTGATGAGCACAGACCAATCTTCTGTGCAAAGCCTGGGCTCTCCAAAGCATAACATGAAGCTGTACCGGGCAATGATCAGGGTGGTGATGCACAGTAACAGTTGTTTCTTTAAGTTATACCTCAATTTGTAGAAGAAAAGACGTGTTGTAAGTGAGGTGGGGGACGCAGGAGTAAGAAAATATTAAATGCAACACAGTTTCTAATTAAGCAAGGATTATCTGTTCCACACACTGAGCAAGGCACAACTCATGAAACAAAAATAACGCGTTACAGTTCAGTATTAACATAGACCAAGGGGAGTAATTAAGGGTGCAGAGGCAACCCTTAACTCGGAATTTCTTAATTTGGGTTCCTAACCTGACTCTCCCATATTCCTTTCCCATAAGGCACAGGCTCAACCACTTCCCTGAATAACCTTGGCAGACAGCTGTTTTGGCACCCGTGGGACCAGCTGCCCAAGCCCTCAGAGCTCTGGGGGTGAGGACCTCTATACAGCGTGAAACTCCGTACAATGTTCAAGTAAAAAACTACAGAACTGAAGGTGTTCTGCACTTGCACAAGCCAAGCTATCTTCTTGAAGTCAGTATAAAGATCTTTGATCATGTTGATTTATCCTCTTAATGGATACAAAATATCAAACTTATCAAATGTAGATTCCCAAATATAGGAACACATTTTTCTTGATTAGTACGTTTACTGTAAAATTTACTGTATTTCTTATGGTAAGTCAGCAAGAGAAATGCTAAGCAGAAAATGGGATGAAATTATTCAAAAGATCATTGTTTAAATTTCTTTTACATGACTGGGAAACCAGCATAGGAACTAGCTTTAGTTTCCTTTTACTAGATGAGTCTGCTATTTGTTGCTGGTTTGGAGACAACTAAATTTTTTCTATGTATGTGGAAATTTGAAATATTAATGACACTGCTCCATAAACTTCTTTTTGTCACAACATTGCAGAATTCTCTGTATTAAAATTATCATTCATATTTGATAGTCCCTAAAAATCCTTTTTATATACTTTTAAATAACCACATTGCATAGGAATTGTATGGGGGGGTATGTGTGTAGATACAAAATGTATAATTATATATATATATATATAAAATATATAGTTCCTTAGGTTCTACCTGACTAGAAAATTGTTCATTAAAACCATTACATCACAGAAAACTAAATAGTATCACTTATTCTTTGGAGTATATTTATAAAAATAATTTTAGCAGTGCTTTGACTGCCACTCTATTACAGCTCACAAAAATAACAGCACTGTAAAAACAGTAAATTATTTTCACCATGTTCAATTGAAGTATAAAACTTTTAACCCAGAGAATGGCACTACTTTTGGGTAATATTTAAAGAAGGATTTATACTATTTTGTTACTTCAAAGCAAATGATCTCTACTACACACAAATGGTTTGTAAGGAAATGCTACTGTTGAATCCTGGACAATCCTCAGAATGTAGACTTTGAAATATTTTCAGAGTTAAATGAAAGGTCTCATTCAATAATTGAGATTCTGTGGAAATCAGTAGTAAAACTTCAGTTGACTTTAGGATTTCAGGATCAGACCCTGGCTGTTTCAGCTTTATAACATCAACGTCACTAAAAGCATATGCCACTGTATTTTTTCAATAAGTAGTGTAAATCTGATAGCATATTATGTATTCTTTACTTCCAATTACATCACATTTATTTGCAAAACATTCAAGTAACAACATTCCTTATAAGTGTTGAGTGTTAAACAAAAAAAGCCCAATAAAATGAATGAAAATATGAAAGTTTACAGCCATAGTGAGGCCATTTAATAAGATGGATTAACCCAATTTTATTTTTGAGCCCTTCAAACAATGAATAGTCTTGTAAGATATAATTGCCACTGGATGACATAACCACAAAAAAGGATAACATACTTTGGACTGTCTGGCAGGTTTGGAAGATTATCTTTTCTAATGTAAACCTCCGGACAAATCTCAGCAATGGTAAATCTAATAAACTTTACTAATACCTTTAACTCTTTCTTGTGCCTTTGCTTGACTTTAAAATACATTTTTTTAAAGATTCCATGTATTTCTTCAAAATGTATTTTTAATTTTACAATCCCTGGATAACTTCCAGGGTTTAATTTACCATTAATTACCATAATGCATGCTCTCCATCTCAAATTGTTAGAAAATAACAGGCAATTCCAAGTGAACGGAAGTAGCACAGGCATTCTAGCAAGCAGGTAAACAACCTGCTCTTGAAACAGTGCTGAAACAGTATGTACATTTGAACATCTCTATTAACTGCAACTAATTCTCTAATTCTCTCAGTAATTTGCATATATGGCTAAGAATAATTTTACAACAATCCATGCTGAAGTGGTCAACTTCTCTGCAAAACCTGCCTTGCTCAGAGTTAATCAATATTAGCATTAGAAGGGTCCATTTACAGTTAAAACTGATTATACTACCAGAGACTGGTATAAAAACATTATCTATAAAGCTCTTTACACACACAATAGACACAAAGAGTAGGTTTTTATGTCCGCATAGTTACGTATTTGCAACATTCCAGGAAAAGAGATATAGTGTTTTAGTAACGCTTACCTTGCCCTCTGCACATCCAGCTGGCTTGTCCACCTCCTCCTCCTGTGTTTTCTGCTTTCCACAAGAAGAACTAAGCAGAAGATTAACAAAAGGAGTTTTGCAAAATAAGGCATCTTGCTGGAAATGGGTGCCGGGCACTCTGCACTCCAGTGACCTCCTGCAGTACAAGTCCCCCCGGGCTTAAACATTGAATCAACTCTAATTCCGGTGTCGCGCGTTGGTCAGCGATCAGTGGCAGAAACGCTGCTTTCCCGACGTGATGCTTTCGACAGGCTTTCAGGGGCTTCGCACTCAAAGCTTTTCCCTCATCACCGCTTAATGATTGGCCATTACTCGCCAAGTTTACCTCATAAACATTTCCACTGGGTCCTAAAGGATACTTACTAAAGCCATTATATAAAGACCCGCAATTCTGCATGCGGCTTTTTGCTCAATCCCCTAATCTCAGTGCTATCCTCCTGCCAGACTGTAAAACCAGGCTGTCCCTTTTCATTAGGCATTCCACGGTTTTTTGATCCTTTGTATGGCATCTTTTTCAACTGGAAAACACCTATGCCACATTTCAGACATGTATCTCATTGTAAAATATATGTATTTTGATGCGTTTATAGCAGTTGAGGGTTTATTTTCTGATTTAGTCTGGCTCTTCGTGCTGTTGAACATAGAATATGAACTATTTCCTCTGAAAATGCTGACTTTATTTACTGTTAACTTTTAAAGGAAAATTAAAACAGAAACTTCCAAACTATTCACGCAATTGACTTTACACAAAACAAGTTGCCATTAATGTGTTTGTTTTTTTTTTTTTCAAATGGGTATTTTGCATAATCAGGCATTTGAACTCTTATCAAAGAAGATTTAAATGAAAATTTTAAAGTTACAAGCAGCTACTTCTTTAATCACAAGGAAGAGGCTGTTTACAAAAAACCATTGAGGGGGCTTATTTCCTCACAGCTCAGTGGCAGGACAATGCTGACTGTCCGTCTGAGTTAATAACAGCCAGTGCGTGGCACAGGTATGAGAGCAAACACTGTCTTGGCAGAGCAGTGATTCTGGAGGGAGAGAAAAACACACTCAAAGCTTCCAGAGGAGTGAGCAACTCAAACCCCAGCAACGCCCGTCTTGTGGGTCAGACCTTTTCCAGAACTCTCTTCTGTGAGCCCACGTTTGCAATACTTGAAGTGAATGGGTATTCAAGCACCAACTAGGAAACAGAGTACTTCTGTATTAGAGGCTACAGGATGTGCAGAGGGTTTTTAGTGTTTTGGTGTGCCGGGTGCTTTCTTTTGTGGTGGTGGGGGAGAGGAGTTGTGTATTGGGGTTTTCTGTTTGTTTTTGTTTTTTTTTTAATTCCTAATGAAATAAAAAATTAGGTAAAAAGACAGTATATCGACATCAGACTGTTCTACGGCAGAATGTGTAACTACTGAACAAATGACATACTTCTGTCGGAACTTCTAAAAAAAATATTTTTTCATCCTTGTTCCTTTGTACCTGCAAACAAGATTATCAACAGTGCACAGAAATGCTAAAAAAGAAATCATGTTTTGGAGTTTTTAATTTTCCACATCTCCCTTAGACACATAATGGGCTTTCCTTATTTTAGAAGTTTTTATAGCTACTTTAATGTAATATATGCTATAACTAACAAAATCTAGGAAGCTTGATAAATACTTGCTGAGAAACAGGATGAGAATCTCACTTAAGTCAGTGCTATCATGTCTGACAGCAACAAAATGAGAGCTAGCTAAATTTCCTTGTCTTTGAAATAAACACACTGAACAATAATTTGAACAATGATACCAGAGGAAAATTATCCCACCCATTGTGTTCTTCTACTTCACTCCAATTTAAAGTCACAGGCAAAACCTCTCAAAACCTTAAAAATCATAGGTCTGATGCTTGTATATCCATTTTCACAGTATTCATGAATATTACCAGTGACTTTTTAAGTAAACTTAAAATAAGAAAGTCTCTGGATCTAATATAGATTTTAGGTTAAAAAAAAACCCCAAACCACTAACCCCCTCCAAATGAACAAAATAAAACCCAACCAACCAACCAACCAACCAAAAAAAAACCCTAAACAAAAAACAAACAAACCCAAAAAACAACCACCAAAGAAACCCCAAAACAACAACAAAAAAACCAACCAACTAAAAAAAAACCCAAAAACAAACAAACAAACAAAAAAAAAAACAGCCAAAAAAAAAACCAAAACCCAGGCAAACAATAAATAATATGCCATGTGATATTTGAAGCATATCCAAAGAGTGGCTTGAAACTTTATTACTAGTAGGATTGCAATAAATACTTCTCTTAAGCACGTTGAGATATGAGAGTTTAAGTATAACAAGGTTTAAATTTTCTTTAGTAAATAAAACCACATACAAAACATTCAGTTCAACACATTATGTATATTTCTGGTATAATGAAAAGACAATAGCTCTGGGTAAATAATTATATTACATATTTATAACTATTGCAAGAATAGACATGTTTTGTAGTATTGTCAAATTTAAAAACAAGATATACAATTGAAAATACTAGAAGAGGACATTCAAATCTTTCAAAAGATTATCCAATCTTTCTTCCAAAAAAATAAAAATCAAAATAATGCAAGTAGTTTTCTGGCCCTTTCTTTCCTCCCCTTCTCCTTTCCCCCTTCCACACACACAAAGCAGCTTCACAATTTGTACGTGTTCCACCTCTAGAAATGTGTCATGGTAAATCAAAGTGGTTACGAAAAAGTTCACTGGACACAAACACATAGTAGTGTTTCATTTTATAATTCTCTCTTCAATTTAAAATCTTATACTAACTTAGATGGGTGATTAATTGCATTTATGTTCCATAAAAAATTAATCAACCATTTTTTAAAAATTGTCTTTTTCTAGTTTATAAATTACTCAAATTTAGGCCCATCCGACGTGCCTTCATGTTACTATTCCACTGCACTGTTTCTCTAGTGGGCACTCAATTAACACATGTCCCACTTTGCTTTTCTTACAAGTAATGTATCTGTAGGTACATTAACAACATTTGTAAGGATTTAAGCATAAATACAAAAAGTAGCCTTTGTAAACAGTTCTCATGTCATACCCAATACAGAATGTTCAATGAAGCATTCAGGTCCCTGCTGTTAGGACAAACAACCTTATAACTCAAATATATACTCGTTAGCCAAACATATTCTGCGAAATATAAGAGCTGCCAACGCAAAGGTCAGAAGGACAATCAGAACAGTTGATCCAGTGTGGTTGGTGTTGACTCTCGGCTGCTGTGCCCGGTTGAAGTCAGTGGAGGATGGAGCCCGTCTCTGACTCTGCTGCTGAGCACGGCGCTGCCGGGGACTCAGGGAGGTGCTAGTGGACACAGCTGGAGTGCGCTCCTGACCGGCCACTGCATTGCTGTTCTGAGTTTCAGACTAAAAAGGAAACATGGAAAGTTGTGAGAGAAGACACTGCATGAGGTTAGCAAGAAATAAAATCATAAGGACTAAAACATAGTCTCCAGACTGCTGTTAATACTTGAAAGCCTGATAATACATGTCACTAATCATTACAAGACTGTTGTAGCTGTCACCTTTGTCCATACACTATCTGAGAAGTGTATTTCAAGCTGCAAACTAGCAGTCCTATGGACAAGAAAAGGCTGAAGAAAGTCTGCCAAACAGTATTTGTCTTAAAGAGATTTCAAATATCTTTGTCTAGGATTTGTTTAACTCTTTGTTGTTCAAGAAATCTTTAATAATCCTCCAGATAGTTTAATCTCTGAGCATCTGTAATGTCACCTACACTGAAGGGGAAACAATCTGGGGAGGCCAGGAAAGGAAGAAGAGAAGTCCAGAGAACTGTAATTAAGCAGTGCTGCATTGCTTTCTGTGGACAGCTGGGTCCAGAAATCTGTTTTCATCACCACCAACGCCACTGGAAACACAAAACGAAAGTCATCCTAAACACAAACCACCTACGTGATCCCAGCAGGAGTTCCCAAGCACTGCACATGTGCAGGCACTTACCTATTGCCCTCTACTGGGCAAACGTCAGGCTAACATTACAAGTACTAAAAAAATAAACTTCGGCAACTGATGTTCATTTTGCCAGTTTGTAAGACTGAAACTATGATTACTGATCTTCCACCAGACTAATCCTGCTTGTAATACTAAAAGGCTCAAATTTCCAACGTTTTAGTATTAAAAATAATGATACAGCACAGTAATTAGAAATAAACATTTTTACAAGGTTCAATTTAAAAGCACTTAAAAAAAAAAGCCGCTCTGACAAAAAATTGCAGGGTTTTTTTTTTAAGTCTTATTTTCAGTTCTCAGAACAGTGTGCTAGTATTCCTAACTTAAAGCAACTTGCAGCTATTTTCCAGAGTTAGCTTTCTCCCCCTTTCCTTCTAAAAGATTATCATCACAGTAGGTAAAACTAGAATTCTGGACATTTTATATATGCTTCCAAACAAAAGCTTTTTAATGGTCACAATATCCATAACCTTAAGCACTGTTTCAGCCAGCCACTATATCCATAAAAGACACCCTTTCCACATGGCCAGATAGGGAATGCCCTCAACTGCGTATCAGGTTTGAGGATCCACAACACAGCAACCAGCACTTGGTCTCCTGACTCTGGCCACGTGTTCACTAGTCAGTGATTTGACCAGCCCGGGAAGAGACCTTCCTTTCCTCATCATTACTATTTTCCCACTGTTTATCATCACCAAGGAAGTACTGATGTAATAACTCGCCACCTTTGACAACTTGCCTGTTTACACAGGTTTCTTGCCTAAGTAAGCAAGTAGTTTGGGTAGCTTCAAAGAGAAGCGTTTTCAAAAGATACATTTTATCAGCAGAGACATCAAGAATACCATGAGTAGCCTGCCATGACTTCCACTACACTGCAGAAGAAAACAATTCTGCTTCATTTTGAACTCACCCGAAAGCTCCTCATGCCAAGGAAAATAAAGACTAAGAGAAGCCAAATCTTTGAAAAACTAAGTTCCTAGATTCATCACACTCCCATTTTCCAAAAGGGGAGAAGGAGAGGAGTCAATTCAGGACACAAGAACTGCCAAGTCAGCAGGCAAAGTGCTTTCCTCATTCAAATAGTTTTAAAAGAAATAA